GTCGATACTCCTCATGTTTCTAGGGATTCAGACAGTGCGGTGTGATGTGTCCTTGCTCGTGGCAGCAGTAGCAAATGATCTGCAATTTTGGCTTCTGACCCCAACCTCCGGTTGCCGGAAACTAGGATGGTGGCCGAGGCCCGGATTGTTGGGTCGGCTCCAAGGCATAGACTGGGTATGACACCTGCTGCACTGCCGGTAACTGGGGTTGAGCGTAATAGCTCGGAACCTCCATTGAAGACTGAAGTGTGGGGTAGATGGGCTGTGCGATAGTGGGCCCAACTAGTTGCTGCATATCCCTCATCCGAGCAAAGCAATTCTCAGTGGTATGGTTGGCTCAACAACAATACCCACACTGTGGATGAGCTGCTTGGGGATTTAGACACTCACTTGGGTAATGCCCGTACCCCTTGCACCTTACGCACCAGATTTCCGGCCTGTCGACCACTTTTTGAGGCTGAACACCACCTTGACCCCTCACTAGGTTCACCTGCAACTTGGCCATCTGCTTGGTGAGGGTTTCGACCACGTCTTCTTTCACCTTGGCTAACTGAGCCTCAAAACCTTGTAGATTGGAATTGGTCACTGGCAGGGACAATGGTGGTGCTGCTGGCACTGCTGGAAGACGGGTGGTCTGCATCGCAGGCATGTATTGCACCCCTGCCAGCATACTCGGGTAAGTCGCGGGTGTCAGCGACGATCTTGATCCCAGTCTCGCTTGCTCCCAGGTAGCCACATGCTCCACCGCTGCATTGAGATCGGTTGGCCGATGAATCTTCACATGAAAGCTGATTTCGTATGGCAAGCCATTGAGGTAACACCTCACTTGATCTTCTGCAAGAGGCGCAGGGTGCTTTCGCTGCAGGAGAGCTCAATATCTGCAGGTGTAATCCTGTAGGTCTCTCCCGGGAGCAAATGGATCAAGTTGAGCTCCTCCGTGATTCTGGTGCTGAACCCAAATGGTCAGAACTGAGTCAAAAAGGCCCTCTTCATTGCATCCCAGGTCACAAATGCCAGTGCCACACCTGACGTCACCTGTGCATACCAATCCATGGCTGGTCTGGAGAGTGTTGTTGGAAACCATCTCAGCAGCAGTGCGTCTGCTTGTTCTTGATTTGCCGTGCTCACTACTTCAAAGGCTGTGATGTGAGAGTCTAGATTGCTCAGGTTCATGAACTTTGAATATTTTTCCCTTCCTCCTGATAGTGCTAGTTGAGCCATTGCAGTTACAAGAGGGGCTTGAGGGGTTGGAGAGGACGGAGGGGTTGTCTCAGTTTTTGATGAATCCGATCCACTTGGCGAGACCAAAGGCCCTACTTCTGGTTCCAGGGAACCTGGGGGTGCCGAGGGTTGCGAGTCCTGAAACCTTCCCCACTCCTCTTCTTCCTCCGAACCTTCTGGCTGCTCCGGTGTCAGTTTCTCTGGGCTATTCCACGGGGTACTTGATTCCCTGCGTTTCAGGTATCTTTCTTTCCTACTCTGCTTCTGCTTCTCTTTTATTTCCTAACTGAATTGATAATACTCCTATTCTAGGTGTCAGCTCAACAGCCTCCTCTTTCCACAGGGGCGGCTGCCCCTTCTGTGCTACTTGAGATAGGCTCCCGGCTAACGCACCATTTTGTAGTCCATACTCACACCATGACTGGAACACAGGAAATAACAGGGAAAAAACCCTTCTTTATTCATACCCTTCTCACTCATACCACTCTCTCCCTGCTGTTGTTCTAGGGGATTAGACGCGAGCAGTTCTTGGAGCAACTCCCTCATGGCTCGGTACCAAGCTTGGCCACAAGTGGGACACGTGGTTGCGACCATTTGCTCCACCTGGATATTCAACTGTTGAACCATGCGCCTAATCTGCAAATTCCAGGTTACTCGGTCTCCATTGGGATGTTGCCTCGGTGCTCCAAACTGCTGATGTTTTACCTACCCTCTCCATTGCTCGCAGCCAAACTCGTCTGTTCCAACCTCCAAATATTCCCCCAGCTAATGGCTTCCCGTTTCCGCCTAACCACCAATAATTTCCCAAATATCCATTATCAACACAATCTTCTCAAACACGACTCATGCTCCTCTCACGTCCTCCGGTTCTGGCTTGACAACACCTGCAATCTCACATAAACAACTCGCCGGTTGATCCTGGCACACTTCCTGCCTCTTGACACTCTCCCACTCCTCTCTCTCGATTTGCTCCTACATTGGTGTGCGTAGATTTGTCCTCGCTCGCTCTCACTGCTCTGATTTGGATTGGAGACTCCCTCCAGATCTCTCCCAGTTCGTGACGATGGACAGATCATTCTCTTTTGGCTATTTTACCGTCCTCGTCGTCGATCGATCGATAAGCCGGCAGCTGTGTTCAAGTAAAAATGCGTTCTTTCCCTTCGCTTTGGTTCCTTTTCACTTTTCTTTCACTGGATCCATCTCCATCCCACTTAGAACAGCAGAGTTTCTAGGAATTTTTTGTTTTCCTTGTGGTTTCTTCTTTTAAAGACTTGATTTTTTTTTATCCTCTCTTCAGAGGAGCACAGGATCTCCAGTGAGCTTTGTGTCATCGATCGATCGAATTGCCCCAAATGCTAGTATCAGGATCAACCGACGAACGATCGCAATTGTGAGCGGGCATTGCTAGCTCAAAAAGGGGGAAAAGGTGGTGTGGAATCACGGGTCCACAAAAAAGGAGGCCGACAACTGCTGGGAACCTCTTCCGGACAACGTAGTAGTGTCAACTCAAGGCGTTCGTGGTAAGGCATCGCAGCAACAGGGCCAGGCATTGTTTTTCAATGATTCCTTTCGAATCTTGTTTGCATATAACTCCTAAATCCCATTGATCCAGGTTTGCCCCTCTCCAATGTCGCAAGATCGTATAGGTAATGTGGATGTTAATGTATGGCTCAAATCCAATTTCTCATCACCCATTGCCCAAGAAGAAAAGAAAAAAAGAGAGAGGGGAGCACAGGCAAAGCTCCAAACAACAGGGTCTCTCTTGCCCCTTTGGCTGTCGCGCAGGCGCAGCAGCGATTCTGGCAGTGGCAATCTATCAAATTTGGCTTGGAAGCTCCAGTCCAATCGAATCCAGCTGACAAAACGTTGTGACATGGGGTGTTACAATCTGGGAAGTGCGTTGGCACTGTGTCATACTGCCACGTCTACTGTCTTTGCCAGGGCGAAAGAGTTGCGATCAGAGCTTGCAAACGCTCATCACCCAAGACAAGTGAGCTTTTGCCGTGATCGAGTTGGAGTTCTCATCATCACCACCGTATACCATCTCGTGTATGACTTGCCCGAGGGCTGCTGATTACGGCAAGCTCGTCGACTGCTGCCTTCGTTGGCCGTGGTTGGCGACGACAGGCTGAGAGAGCTCTGCAGGGAGAGTGTCGAGAAAACATCAATCACTCATTTGTATATAGAAGTAACATGATCCATCATTAGAACTTTCATATTTACCTAAGAAACAAAGTATTTCCTTCATTTAATAGAAAAGATATAAATGTGACATAAAAAAAAATTATATTGAAGTACCTAATTTACTTGGTTGTGCATCACCAGATTTGACATTGGTTCCACATGACATTTTGTCCATTCATTCGTGATGTTTTGCATTATATCTAATAATATAAATCACATTTGTTGCTTTGATTTTTAGTTGTTGCTAACTTGATGGTTTGTCTTGCATCTTTGTACATAATTCATCATCTTTCCTTTTGCCACTTTTGTGCTTAGAAACTTGATACCTACATATGCCATGTTGATGTTGAAGGATTAGTCCATTACCTTTAGCATCACATTTCTCTATTGTCATTCTCCATCTCTTCAAAAACTTGGTAACCTCATTTTTTAGAATCAACCCTAAGTGGGAGGATTATTGAAAAGTTGTTGCTAAATCACTAAACACTCAAGAATTTGTTTAGCCAATAGTTATGCCAAGAACACCTATACATGTAAAATAGCTGAGAGAAAATGAGAAGATAATTTTGAATTTGACTTACACAAGACACTACATCAATCTCATAATAGCTGGTATTAGCAAAAAGCAAACTCCAAATCATAGAACTCACTACTCACACTTTACACACAAACATATCCATTGCCACCCTCTGCTCATCTCTTCATGTCATTTTGAACTTTACAAACTTCAATTGTGCTCATCTGAAGTTGTCTTGATGAACTCATCTGTATCTTGCATTAATCCAGTTATCTTGCAATGTCTGCCACACACGAATAGTGTCTCTGATAAATCCATAATATCCAAATTTGCATTATGCTTATCTTATGCATCTTAGGATGATCACACAAGAGTGGTAGTGCTTGGGATTCTAGGAGAGAAAAGGAAAGTGAGAGAAAGTGAGGGAATGTCTCTCACTTGAATTCTCATTGTTTTCTTATTTCACCCTCAATGTGAAGAAGTAATTGTGTCTTACAACACCCTAAAACACATAGATTCTTTTGACTGACTTAATAGTTTTCCTCCTCAGAAAGGAAAACTAAGAAAGAGCTTCATGACACTGATCCCACAGGTACCAGGAAGGAGCAACAATAGAGAAGAGTGTGATATGCAAGAGACACTGTCTTTAAACTGAAAGGTGAAATACAAAGCAACTTACACAAGACCAAGGAAAATCAAAGGCAGGATCCCCCTTCTTCACTGACTTTTTTCCAAGCCATCCTTACTCACTCCCTTAGTCTTGCACGAAACACTGGAGGATTTCATGTCAGGAGCTGTAATCCGGAGGGATACTCATATGTCCCCTTGACCTGTCAAAATTAAGTTTAACAGTTCCCGAGCATTGGAACTTGTTTTCCAGTATTTCCTCCATACCAAGTGCTTTTCCATACTTTCTTCCTCCCCTAAGTCCACATGTATGTCTAGCGTATCATGTGTGCAGATCCTCCTCAACCCAGTTGAATTGGATCCTCATCAGCTTGATTGCAAGCCATCCGCGAAGAAGATGATCCTGCTCCTAGCAACACAACACTGTTATTTACCTTTTTGCTAAACTCACTTAAGCTGTCTGGAGCTCAAGCAAGCGTCCAGCACTCCGGAGTAAGCATACATGTTTGGTTTGGTTTCCATCTTTCGAAACATTTCCAGGGTGGTCTTTCCATCTCCGTGCTCCGAATAGGCCGTGATGATAGCTCCCCAGGCAACGATATCTTTGCGCACCATCACGTCGAAGGCTTTGCGCACCATCCTCAACGCTGCCACACTTGGCATACATGTCCACCAAGCCAGTCGTGACGATGCTGCTCTTGCCGAAAGATGGTGCCTTTGCTCCGGTGGAAGATGCAACGATTAAGTGCGAGTGAATCGCCCGTCCCTCCTCGAGCGCGTCAGTTCCGAGCGCTCCACAGGCACCCAGAGCGATTGAGAAGATGAAGTCGTCCGGCTCCATTCTATCGTCCTTCATCTCCTGATAGGCATCGAGAGCGTCCCGGAAGAGCCCGTTCTGGAAGTAGGCGATGAGAATTGTCCAAGAGAAGACGTTCCTGGTGACTATCCGGTCCAAGGCACTTCGGGCTCGATCGAGCTCGCCGCATTTGCCATACATCTGGACGAGCAAATTCCCGAGAAACGTATCGCCATCGTAGCCGCGGGACTTGAGGAGGAAGTGGAGCCTCTTGCCTTCCCAGAGGTTCTGGCTGCTCCCGCATCTTCGCAAGGCCTCGGCGTAGCATTTGGTGGTGTCGCTGCTGCAGCGCAAACTTGGACTAGAACCCACTACAGCAACATCGCTGGCGAGGGAGCTGGAGCTCCAGACAGCGTCCATTCATTCCATCACAAACTTCTCCGCAAGCAATAGGTAAGGTTCTTTTGTGATTTAAAATCCACTGAAGTTCTGATTCTTTCTCTTGACATTCAGGATTGACAGCATCGCAATCAAGTCCCATTTTCATGGAACATACCGAAACACCAAGATGAAGGAATGATGGCAACCTATCAGCCAGGCAAGAAACTTCTCAAACTTCCAAACTTTCGTTTCAAAGAAACTTCTTGAAAGAGCCAACTTTGCAGTTCTAGCTGCAATCGCTAAGCTATTGCTGCGTACTATCGAAGCCTATAGGAGTCGTTGTCCTCGAAACTCTCCCCGCAGAGCTCTCTCAGCAAGATGATCTCAACAAAGCTAACGACGAGGCTATGAGCTTTGTTGATGCTCATGAAATGTTCTCCTCAAGATCATCCACGAGCTGCCCAAGCACAATCTGATTCCTGCTCAACCGCTGCAGCGATTCCCGCAGAATCAACTTATCCTCGTGCTTCAGGCAGAAGGCTAAGGTCCTGTTCGTGAACTCAATCTCGCAGCCTAATCTCATCACCAGCCGCTTCATCATATCCAGATCTTGCACAACCACAAAAGTCCCCTAAGCAACATACTGCTTCTCCAGATCCACAAGCCGATGCTTCCGCCTCCTGCTAAGACGTAATTGATCGGAAGCGTAAACACTTTCCATTCCACGATTGAGTGCAGCCACCGCAAGAAATGCAGCCAAATCTGCATTGTCGTTGGCTTTGTCCATAACCCCGTTGAACTCTTCGCTCGACACCATGACGCTGTGACCTGGTGCATTTAACATTCTGTGACAATTCATTGTTTGTTCACTATAAGCGATCTAATGTTTCAGGTTTGGTTCAACAAAAAATACATCTAGACCATCTATAAATGCTTTAGTATTTAGCTGTCTTAATCCCGCTCGTTCTTAATGGTAACCTATATTATCTAAACAAATTTGACAACAATCGCCAAAGTTCCAAGATCGGCTTCCTCTGCTATAGTGGAAATGTTATCTATCTGCAAGTAAACAGATTCAACACCTGTTGAGAAATAATAAACAAACAAACCTCTAGTTCCCCCGCGTTCCATGAGGTTTGTACACGAGAGAAAATGTCAGATATGAGCAGCACCTCATCACGATTTAGATGTCCCTGTAGAAAACAATTGAGCTTCAAGAACAACATCAAGAACAAATTCTTACCCATTGCAGAGTTGCATAGCTCTCACAAGAACTTGAAAACTCCTGTAAACACCATCTTCAGACCTCTACTAATTGGACAGAGAAGTCCTTACCTTTAAGCTCCTCTGTCCAGCAACAGCAACCGACATCGCCCCTGGCCCACCAACAGCCACCTTCCCGCTTTCATATATGGCTACCAGAGTTGTGTAAAGATGAGGAAGCCAATCATTTTCCTGAACAGATACAAGTTAGCCGAATGCCCATTTCAACATACGTTACCTTGACTGTACTTATGGGATCAGGGTCTATATCTATTTCAGGATCAATGTCTAGTGTCTTGCAATACGCCTCTCTCTCCGGCATGTCCCTTGTAACATGCTCACGGAGCTCCTTCTCCACACTGCAGAAACTGAAGATACAAAGCAGCATCTTGAATGAAAAGCTTACTTGGAGTAGAGGCTCATCACACTGTTGATATTTATCCCATTGGCAAGCTGATGGAGGTGCCTCTTGAAGGAAGCAAGCCGGAAATCACAAAGCCGCAGAACCTCTGTAAGCAAGTATAAGCTTCAAAAAAAATCGAAGGAAAACAACATACTCGAGTGATCACCGCTGTAAACGTGAGAAAGTATGATTGTCACTGGCTCTCCCTTAATCTCTGTGCTCGCCATGAAAGTCTGAAAGGAATTGATACAAACAGATAATCGCATAATCACAGTACATACATGAGAAGCCATTGTTGGGTTGTTATCCCGCTGAACACAATTGACACCCGTCTTCGGATCCTGGAATGCTCTCACAGCCTTTCGCGCAACGCAAAATGTCTTGGACCGCCCGATTACCATCGCCATCGCTCCTAACCCTAACCCTAATTAAAGAGGGCCTGACATGGAGGACTACGATGAAGAGCAAATGGTATGTTTTGAAGCTAGAAAACAAAATGATCATGTGGAATCACTTTCGTTCAGTGTTCTGGCATTGGTGCTGGCTTGTTCTCGGCATGATTGCGTTGCGTTGCAATCGGGCAACGAGGAAGAAGGTAAGCTCTGGATTTGTCTTCTCTTTGTCTTCTGAATCATTTTCTGTATTTGACAGTTTTGTCAATTGCTCGCAACCATGCCTGGAATGATGCAATGACACAGAAATCTGGTGATCTGCTCAAGAAGATCAGCGATGAAACAGTCAGCATTGCACAGCTCCGTCAGGATATTTGCGATGCCAACACAGGAATCATTCGAGAACTGGCAAAAAAAGCAGATATTTCGGTTGCTGGTGGCAGGACTGCCATGGAGATTGCAAGTGATGGTGCTGCTCTGGCTAAACGTTGCATCCAGGAAAGAGTTACCATGTCTCACTCTTTGGAGTTGCTCGCTGTCTTCTATGAATGAGCACAGTACCTGAGAGCTGAGTTCAGAGGTTGTGCTTATCGCCAAAGCATCGTACGGGATGAGCTTTCTAGAACAAAAGTGGTTGCACTTCATCCTCTGAAGCTCCTGGAGCTTTTGCCACCGCCAGAGCCTGTTGCTGCTGAAGAATTAAAGAGAAGGTATGTTTGTTTTAATGCATGCATACAGAAATACTCAGCTTTTTTCAGGCTGACGAAAAAATATGGAGGCCTCGAGCAAAGTGATTACGTCACATACAATGGATCTGTTCACTGTGAACAGAAGGTGAGTTAACAATTCGAACTTGCTTGTTTAATCTTGATTATCTTTGCAGCTCCCTCCTGAATATATCGTCCGCGGCATTAGCAAGCTACCTTGCTTCTTGTGTGCCTTCCTCCTTGAAACAGTTGGCTCGCATGGTAAACTCGTGGGGAACTTTCAGTGGCCTGATAGTGTGTCCCGGGAGACTCTTCAGAGCTTCATTCAGGTTAGTTTTGCTCTGCAGTTCTAAAATTCGCTCAGTTCTTGTGTTCAGTTGGCCCGTCAGCTCGTGAATAATCCATTGGAATCAGATGAAGCACACTCCCTGCTGCAGGAGATTATTGCGTGCTAAGGTTAGAAGGTAACGGAGACTATGACTACTCCCCAATTTTGTGGCTTATATTAGTGCTAATGTTTGCCCACACAGTTTGAACTAGAATGTCCTAGAGAACTGGGTGATTGTCTGCACGCCGGCTCATGCAGCTTCTTAAAAACATCCTCCTTGAACTTCAGAAACGCCTGCAAGAATACTACGAGAGTGCCAACCATCGACTTACAGAATTCTCATGCAAGAAGAGGTGAGAGTCATTGTCCTCCACAGCCCTCTAAGTACATAAGTAACATGAAGAAGAGAGCGCAAGAGCGTCCAAGGAGCTTCTACAGAGCGAGCTCCAGAGCTCTGTCCTGAGCTACAGCCACTAGGCTGTTTTCCAACCTCTTCCTACGAGTAACCTTGAATGGTATAGCCCTGTGGCTAAGTTGAAGCCTATGAGTTTGATCCTCACCCGGAATGGGTGCATTGCAGCCAATTAGCTCGCCGTGGCTTACCTCACCGCCAACAGCCTGGTGTGCGAGTTGTCCATAGAGCAACCTTGTCGATGTCCTCAGCCGTGGCCGCCTTGTAGCTGAGCCCTTGCAGCCTAGAGATGAGGCAAACTTAGCACCCTTTGCAGATCGGAAGGCAAGAAACGCGTAGCTTCACCTTTCTCAGGCAGCGGCTCTGCAAGAGTGAGGCAGTCAACCGATACGAACCGTATTTCCAGGGAGCTAGCTGCGTAGCTGGGTTTCCCTGGTTACCTGGTAACGTAGCTGGTTAGCTGGGTTTCCCTGGTTAACTATGGCTGCAATCGAGCCCCAAAGAGCCGCCGACGATCATCACCCCAAGCTCTACCAGGTAAGATCAGCTCCACGAATTCCTGGACAAGACGGTGGAGATTATCCGCGTGGAGAAGGAGGCAGATCGTCCAGTGGCTGCTCCATCCCAGGAAGAAGACGATGGAATCCATCTCTTTGGGAAAGCTCCGGCTGGGATAACGATGATAGAGAGAGTCAGGGATGGAGCACAGGGCTAGCGGCAAGCGCTACATTCACAATACAAGGGGCTGGTTTTCTAGTGGCAAGAACTCGTTAGAGAATATAGTGATTGATAAGGCGAGAAAGAAAGCTCTGAGTATAGAATTTCTAGAAAGGAAGAAGTCATCGCTAGAGAGAAGTCGAGGGTGGCGGCACTGAAACAAGTCAGGGGTGAGAAGTGGAATTGCTAGCTCAATTCCACGAAATCGTGCGTTCTCTCTCTTCTTTTTTTCGTTTGTTCTTCAGTCTCAAAGAGATGGAGCCTTCTCAAAGGAGCAGCGGTCGAGTTCACTAATGCCAGTTATGGTTTTTCGCTTTTCTTGCAATGCTGGGAGAAACTTGCATTGCTGGTTTGATTCAAAGTCTTTCTTTCGTGTTCCTTGTGCTAGACACGACTTACAGGTTCTCGATGGGAACTTGCAGATTTTTATATATTAGCTTTAAGAACCCAGACCGAATCAATCAACCACTCTTTCAGATACAAAGACACGTTATTGCCACCAATCACTCCACACAGGGGCCATACAGCCATTGTGTGGAGTGATTGGTGGCAATAACGTTGCAATAACGTTGCCCCCTCAACATATTGCCGTTTCAGTGGGGAAAGCCGCCCACCACTAGGGACTTGACTTGCAAAATAGTTGGAACCAAACTGTTCCAGATCCTTCACCGTATGAGGCAAAACTGCCAGTCGCAGTAGTCCATTTTTTGAAGCAAGATCTCTAAGCCTGTTCAAACCTCCATCTTTTTTCTTTCCTGCATTTCATCAAATCCAAACTGTCCAAAGCACTTGAAATTTCACCTTGAGTAGCCGCATCATCCCCGGCTGTCATCTGTAATAAGCAAGGAATGAGCCGCTGCTCCGACTCATAGTCATTGGTGAGAAAAAGCAACGCGTCTGGACGAAAGGCACCCCAGCCACCATCACCAGTCCAGAGAACCGTTGGAAGTGCGTCAGCCTGCCCTTCAACGTCGTCGAGATACTGCTCAAGTGTATAACAGTCGGAGCCATGGGTGTGACTTTTACCGCACATCTTTGTCACGACTCCTGTTGCAACGCGTGCTTTCACCACCTTTGCCTTCTCAAAATATATTGCAGGAACTTCAAAATTGTTGTTGCTCAGTTTCACAAAGCGATTCTGAAGAAAGAGAGACACAAAGTCTACAGGAATGCATCAACCATAAGCCCCGCCAGCCTTTCAGACTCAAGACCCACTGTCACTGTCACATCGCTGCCTTGGCCCTTGGCTTTAAACTGCCTGCTGCTGACAAAACTCATCAAAGACTGTTGGCCGATTACTAAAGTAATGGAAAAGAGCCCGAATGACAGCAGGTTCCTGAAGTTTGATCCAAGTGTCTCTGTCCTGCTTTGCAGAGAACTTATCCAAGTCCTCCAACGCAACACTGTCTCCCCTGCTTAGCCAGGCTAACCCGAACTCCACAAGGCTCAGAGATGGATTGTTGATGTTGAGTACAGTGGATATAGACCCAAACATCTGGTGATACAGTATCACCTTTAGCTCCTTGACCGCTGCAGCATTCCAAGTCCTTTCAAAAAACAGCTCCACATCCCTCAGAACCGCGTAGACTTCCAATTCTGATTTGTTCGGTACACCCTCCTGAGAACGACTGATCTTACTCGAGGTGCACATCTTCTCAAAAAAGTCAATCAGGAATTCTGTTGCCTGCTCCAAGGGACGCTTGCTCCCAATGAAATGCTCAAGTGCTGTGACAAAGAACCTGTACCTCCCTTTGTACAAATCACAGACCCTCTGCATATCAATACCATCCACACTTCGGAGTAGTTTCCCAGCATAGAGCTTGAAGTCCTCAACAGTGGTGAATCCACCAAATCCATGAAAGACAATAACAGAAGCTCTTCTCTTCAAAGTGGCAGAGAAACCCCGTGCCACGGCTAGCATACTACCACCTGTGCCTGCATAGTAGAATTGTCGAAATCCACAATCTATGAGTGCCGGCACAAGAATGTCGAGAAATGATCTGCTGCTACAACCAAGAATCGATGATGTAAAGCGCTTCTCCAACCAGCAATTTATTATTTGACACTCGTCGAATATAATCGGACCATCCCAATTCCCTTTTAGACGATCCAATACCCCCTGGAACTGACCTTCAATGCGTTCCAAGTCCTCCTCAGTCCGTATCAAGTTTAAAAGTCTAATGGTGAGCGCCTTGAACGGATCTTTGAAGCCATAGAAATGCTGGAGTGCAACCTGCTTGAAGAGCCATGCCTGACCCGTCAAATCGCCCATTTTCTGCACCTGCCCCAGCAAATAAAACCTGCTGATGAGCAAGGCTTTGAGGCAGATTGCAGCACTAACTTCTGGAATGTCTCCAGTTGGATACAGCTCCAGCAACTTTGATGTCACTAACTTGAGATCTCCTGAACCTTCAGCTCCAGTACCAGTGTCAGAGACCCCCACAAAGAAGAGCCCACGCTGCGCTAGAGCGATCTCATATAATGTCCTGGTCTTCCCCGATCCCGACACGTCGAAGAGAACGGTGAGGGTCGGCTGCGCTTCGTTAGTTACCTCTATGATACGCTTGGATGCTTCAAAAGGCTGGTCTAGTGCATGCCACAAGAGGCGGGGGCATTCATCTGTAGGATCTTTTGGCAGTGGGACTTTACACGTTGGGAAATCCGCCAGAAACGCATCCGCCTTGGGATACTGAAGATTTGGCTTGCGCAACTCATGCCAAAACCTATCCAAGAGACTATCTATATTTGCGACAGTCAAAACCGCTTTGACTGGTTCTGCAAGAAAAAACAACGCAAGTCAAAAGGGACCAAGAGATCTAAAAGGGAAAGACAAACAATGAGATCAACAAAGGCTTACCCTTGAACTTATGCTCCTTCTCGCGCAGCTGCTCCTTCTCGTTGCGCAGCTGCTCCTTCTCCTTCCGCAGCTGCTTCTCCTTCTCACTCAGCTGCTCCTCCTTCTCGCGCAGCTGCTCCTCCTTCTTGACCAGCCGCTCCTCCTCCTTGGGATCATTTGGCTGCTCCAGTTGCCCCTCAACGGCACTAACTTGGCGGTCAACTGCTGTAATTTGGCGCTCAACCGCTGTAATTTGGTGCTCAACCGCTGTAATTTGGCCCTCAACCACAGCAATCTGCCGTTCAACTTCCTGGATTTCCCTTGACAAGCCAGAAACCGGATCATCCACCTCCATGGGCTCCATAAGCCTTGCCAAACTCTATTTATACAAGAAAAAGGTGGTTCATAAGGTAAGTACATATTTTACCGCCATCTAAGCGGTAACCATGGTGGCATATTCTTTAAGCACCATTGCAGTATATTCTTAACACCATTACCACCGAAACCCTAAGCGCTATCAACTTTATGAGTAATTTCAAAAGAAATTTGCTTGTTTCAAATATGCCACTTATAAAAGCACAAATATGTTTTAATTACAATTCAATATCACACTTTATAAAGTGAAGTGCTGTAAAAAGGGTAATCAACCATAGGCAATTGATTCCAAAGATGTCAACTTCAATATTTTAAGCTCTAGAAAAATTACAACATATCTAAAGAAAATTGCACCATTTTTTTGGGATTAAATCAGCTAAAATTGAGTATTGTTAACAAGTCTATTTGCAATAGTCTTAATTGAATAATATCAATATTTATGTTTTGCCAAGTGTTTGAAAATTCTTTAAACAAATTTTATCATGTATTTTCTTATAATAAAATAGGCTAGATTATTATTTTAATCCTTTTTAGCTATACTATCTTTTTTATTGAATCCACCAATTCTCACTCTCTTTATTGTTATTAATATGGTGAATATTGTTAGATCCACAATATGACAGCCATAACACTATAAAAATATAATAAAGATATTTAGAAGAAAAAACATTTAACAGTTTAAAGCATGTAATTAAAATGTTGTAGCCAAAATTTTCTTCTTCATTAAGAT